AGTGACCAGGTGGTGCCTGTGCACTCACAAAGGAAAGCTGCGTGCTACCGGCCCATATTCTGCCCTGCTGCACTACATTCTGTCATTTACAGTGAACGCCAGCCTGGATTAGGCTCCTGAGAAGGGGGTTGTGATAATTCTAGCAATAACACAATTTTAACTGTGTGGTCAAGCTTCAAATTATTAAATCTAGTATTTCTGAGTTATTTTCTCATGGTGTAAAATCCACCACTGGCATACCTTTCTAATACAACATTTTGCCTTGACTGTTTTCTTGCATCTAGGAAATTAAAAGTATTTGAGACCTTTTTCCCTTTTGAGTCCTTACAATTACACTAATCTCTGGCAACTTCATCAAAGAGACAATTTCATCTTTAAAATGATTTCATCTTTTCGTGTTACAAAATAAAGAAAAGCATACTGTGGCACTCCTGTTTCTGTGCCAACGATGAAGGAAGAATCATTCTCCTCCTGCATACAAGATGACCACCAGGTAATAAGTAATCTGCAGGACTATGAAACTAAAAAGTGCTCCCCTGCCAAAAAGCAAAACATGCAGGTTTGCTTCCTTTTCCTCACCCCTTACCACTGACAATCAGCCAAACAATTTTTTAAAGATCAGGTGGCTCTCCCTCAGCCAAAGAAGTCAATGACCTGCGTTTTTCACACCAGAATTATTTGCTCTCAACACCTTTTGTTAGGTTGTGCTCCTTCCTTTAGCAAGTCTGCCCCTTTATTTTTTCAGTTCCATGGAATCAAGACAATAGGAAGCAGCACCTGACTGTGCTTCTCACAGGAACTTACAGACCACACGTAAAAGCTACTGCAAACTACTTAGGCTGGACCCTGTGGTCAGGGGCAATACTGACCTTATCAGATCGTTTTTTCCTGGGAACTTCAAGTGAGAATATCCAGCTAGTTGGACCCTCTTCCCCAGGAACAGGCAAACACAATGCAAGCTCTTTCCTCCAAACCAGGAACAAAAGAATGATGTTATTTCCTATGGCTGGTTTTGGGAAAAGTACTCAGCAACACCAAATCATAGCAGCAAAAACAAGACACACTTATTTACTAAACCTTTATTTTAAAAAATGATTACAAAATATTTTATAAAGTTCCTTAGATCAAGAAAACATAATGTGTTGAAAAAGACCACAGGTTTAGAATGATAAAAAAATATTTAGGCATTTAAAAATTATTTGGATGGAAATTCAAGGCAACACTGGAAACTACAAAATTCTTGCTTTATATATATAAAATTAATGTATTATCATCTTGCTTTAATAATAATGAAAAAATCACTTAAATTCTTAATGGTATTAAAAGTGACATATAGCTCTGTTCAGCATAAAATTTAATATCAAGAGAGCTGCTTATGTTTACAGCAATAGACTAAAACAAAAATGAATTTTCATCTTGAAGGCACTATCAGCATCTTTATTTGCTACAATTTTATAGAACCTTTGAAAATTTTCACTAAGAATTTCCCTTCTGTGTTGAAAGCTTGGTACTTTATTGCACAAATTTGAACAAGGATCACCACGACAGCCATTATGCCAAACCATCTAGTGCAGAGCTCTGAGAATTGTGTGAGATCATTCACTGCTCTTTCAGGTTGGAGAGCACAACGTTTCCCTGCTCTTTTCAAGCACAGGGTACAGGCAGTAAGGCACAATTCCTTCCCATACTCAGAAGTGGCAGCACTGTGATTTTAACGTGGGCTAAACATCAAACACAAAAATTAACATTCACAATCTATGCAATGCCCAGTACAGATCTTGAGAGCAGAATTTCACAGTCCAGCGACTGTATCCTGAAAAATCCTCTCCACTGATTCTCAAGGCACTGCAAAAAAGCTTTGAAAGTGGTTACAGAGCCTTAAGCTTGACAGGTTCAGCTGGAAAACACCAAAGCTGAGTGTCCAAGCAGGCTCCAACACCACTGCCAAGCACTGTGGTGAAGAATGGAGAAGACAATCCCCAGATAGATGTACTGGGCCAGCTGCTTCTTTCCAACAGGCTTTACTACCAGTTATGATGTGCAGAGATGTTCACTTTGCTAACAGAAGAAATTTGAGGCAGTTGAATCTAACAGCACTTCTGCCAGAGCTCCCATCACTCTCCTGAACAATCCTTAATGTGCTTAAGCCAAAATCAGCCACCTTAATGGAAGCAATTTAAATAGGTGGTTTAAATAAGATTGGCTGATTTCATCAGAAGCAGGCTGGGAAACAAGCAAAGGGCTTTGCTGACAGAGCACGAGGAGTAAGAGGCATCCAGCATACACACAGAGCTCCTGCAGAACCAGACATTTAATCCAGCTCCAACAGCATTCTCTAGGATCAGTCTAATTAAGAGACAGACATTTAAAGCCAGCACCTGACACCAGAGGCATCAAAGGGGCATGTCAAGACTGCAGACAAGTCTGCTCAGTCACTGCAGCAAGGAAGCCTCTCCCCCACCTAGACTGGGAGGGCAGAGGACCTAGGAGTGATAAGGAAAACTAGGATACAGGAAGCTGATAAAGCAGTTAAAAAAATAACCTCACAGAAGCAGAAAACAGCACACACACGCGCAAATCTGCTTCTCATCTATTTTAAAACAGAGCAAAAACATCTTACAAGGTGCAAGGATTAACAGCACTATCATGCATGTTAGCCAACAACTGCTTTGGAAGCAACATTTTAGGCAACTGCCTTAAACCTATAACCATTCTGTGACTTGCTCCTAGGATTTAACTACTATGTGACAGACTATGGCCAGGTAAACTGCCTAGGTCAGGAGATGACTTTACAGATCCCTTTCTGCATCTCCAAGAATGGACATCAGTAACACATCACTTAGGTGGGGAAAAGCCTATAGAAAAAAAAAAACCAGCCAAAACCTAGACTTCCATTAACTTATCTTCGGGCTGAGAAAAATAACAGGAGAAATTACCTCAAGATAAAAGTCCTTTCACAGTGCTGCATTGCTTAATAAATACTTAGCAGCACAGTGTTGCTCTTACACTATATTTACAGCTACCAATTACAGATAAAGATTTAAAGACTATAAATATTTTGGTGTGGAAAAAAAATTCAGCAGGACTCTAGGCAATAAAAAGAAACCAAAACAAGACTGTTGGAATATTAGTTATATGGGCATGGTCCCCAGAGTAAGACATTGCAGATCATAGAGGAGATATTTTTCATTATGGGTATTTTGTATCACCGGTAACACTGCTTGTAAACCAAACATCTCTAATCTACCCAGTTATCAGAGACAGCTACAGCAAGCACTGACTGAAATCAGACTTTAGTGCAAACAGACACTAATAAATACATGGAAAAAAAAAAAAGCCAGTCCAAAGAGCATTTCTCCTTTACAACACAGAAAATTCTATGAAGGAAAGTATCTCTTCTATGTATAGTTCTAAAACCAAGCTGTGGCTTTAATTTGGTGCTTCACAGCACCCAGCAAAATTTGGCATCCTCCAAGCAAAGTGTAGTCTCAGGCCATAGAGAGACAGAACATCACAAAATCACACTCATCAGAAAGTGGCAGCAATGGGAAAAAAAACAATTTTGACTTGCTACTACAGTCCTTTGTCTTAAAACAGCTTCCTCTTCCTTTCCTAAATACAGCTCAGGCAGTTTCTGGAGGGCTTGGTCTCAATGCTGCCACAATAGGTTGCAGGACTGGGAACACGCCAGGTTGGGATACCGGTGAAATACAGTTAACCCCTGGGAGACACAGCAAATGGCTCAAGCATCAATCAGGTTTTTCTTATTTGCTTGGCTATTTTGGAACATCTCCTGACTTACAGTAATTTGCTCTGATTTTGAAAGCTTTCCTCTTAAGAGAGGCATAGCAGTCTTGCTTTTAACTCAGACATCAGAAAAATGCTTTTTCAGCACTTCATTTCTTTTACAGCCATCAACATCTGGTCTGACACATCCGTCACTTGTCCGATACGTGTCCCATCAATAGTTTTCCTTGCAGTCCTACAGACTGTTGCTTGCAAAACAGATCAAGGGGACAAGTGCTTATTTACCTGTTTACCAACTGAGCTAGTCAGCAGCAAGGAGTCTCAAGCTACTGCCATATCTATAAACACAGAAAATGGTGAGGTTTAAAACCATTCTGGCAAAACTTAGCATTATCTATATATAAACAAGCTGCATATGGCATTAACCTTGCAAGTAATATTCACCAGAGTAGAACCAACATGCTCTAAGGTTTTTTCCATTGATATTCAGATTGCTGCTTCTGGGGTTGCTTCATGTAAAATACTTATTCTTTATCTTATTCCTCCCACTGCTGGCTTTTCAAGTTTCTTCCTGCAAATGTTACAGCTTTTGAAACCATCTGAAAGAAGATTCTGGCATACAAGTCCAAACTTTGACAATCATGGGGTGCAAAACTGTCTCTCCATATACCATTTACATTACCTTCCCCATAAACTCCCTACAGTCACTATAACATTAAACTGATCTCCATAGACAGAACTGAGACACAGGACTAGTAATAAACAACCCAAAACCCCTTACTTAAGGATAAACATTCCTGTAAATTCCAGTTAGGTATCCCTTTTGCACTCAGTTTCACCAGGAAGTACAAAAATGAATTCTGCTGTGCTAATTTTTAACTCACAACAGAAACATCTGGTCCATTTAACCAGGAAATATCTTTAGGTTATAGGTCAGAATTTATGCCTCAGATATTAACCTTTATTAGTCATCTCTGTCAAAATCAAATCAGCACACTACTGTTCTGAAGTTAATCTGTTTAGACCCAAGGTTTTTTACTACCTGTCATCCAAGCAGGTGGCAGGACCAGGTACCTTAGAACATGATGCCCAAGATGCCATTACCTGACCAACAATCCATAAAAGTTTGTGATGAGCAATGTGTACAAAATTGACTAGAAGAAAGAAACAGAAGTTGTTACCTACAGTGCACTGAAAGTTCATTTTAGTTTGCTCCAGTTAAAAAAAAAAAAAAAAGAAAAAAAAAGAAACAATTTCAGGAAGTTATCTTTGTTTATTCAATGGCTGGTTTTCTGTGGCACTCAGAGCGTTACTAGGCTTTTCAGGGCGTCCATCGGTGTTCTGTTTTTGTTTTCGTCTGAGACAGAGCTCTATAACAAATTCAGCTGCAAATGCAGCAGTTGCAAAAAATCCAAATACCTGTGAAAAGGACAGAAATATGTGATTTCAAAATGCATAAACAGTATTTATTCTAACACTGTTTGGAAACATTCACTGTACCATTTTATATACATTAATAACGCTTATAATATTAAGATTACAGTCCTCCTTAAATCAATAGTTTCATTTAAATTAGACACAGATCAGAAATCATAATTCTAGCACATTGATTGGGGAAGTTTTTACAGTTGTCATTCTTTTAATCAAGTGTGAACCTTATACTGTGTTCTAATCAACCTTTAATAGCAAAAGTATATTAGTTGCATTGCCAAAATCAGTTATTAAAGTAGCATATAGCAGACTATTTATCCAAGAGAGGGCTGCTGATTGATGAGAGTAAATGAAGAATAACACACAGAAGATAAAGAAAGATAAGATCTGCAGAGCCTGGGTCAGCAAGGGAGAATGAAATGACATTTTGTGAATGACATTTTGTTACCAGTCATGGCAAGATGAGAGGTGGTAAAGAGAAGGCAGCTTTTTTCAAACAAGGAAAGAAACATATGCATTATTCTAACTCTACCTAAATTTTACACAACTGTTTTGGACCAAAGTAATTTGACATTAATAAGTATTAAATCACAGTCGTTTTTATTTTTTCTGTACCAAAAAAGCAAAGCTGACCCCTAATTTATGCTCAAACTATTAGGTCTAAATAGATCTACATCACATAAGATGACTGTACAGAAGTGTGTATCGCTAATAGCCGATGCTGCCATGGAACAGAATTATCTTGCTTTCTTTTCCACATCAACTTTCCAGCAACCCTGAGGAATGCCTCAGGTAAGTGAGGAATTTCCTGAGGTAAGTTTCTGGAAGATGTGAGAAATAGCTAATTCCTCCTGAAACATCACAATGCACTGAGCTCTATTCCCTGCCCAGTTTCTTCTCTGCAAATTGAGTGAAGTTTAGAGGGGAGAGAAAATAATATACCAGATAAATACAAAGTAAATCTTGCCATTTTAAGACTTACACATGCAGCAAATTCTTCAGGCTCATTGCAGGTTGCAGAAAACAGTATTGATGCTGACAGAAAACAGGCACTTATGACCAGCACAGCCCAAAAATTCTGCAAATACATATAAAAATATATATATAATTTAACTGCAGATAGGTTACCTAAAAAGAACGAACATCATAACAACAGCTGAGTTAACCTGCCTGTGAATTATGTTTTGATACTTTGATGGTAGTGGAAGCTTCAGAAAATACATTTTACAACTAAATTCCAAATGACATTCAACATTACAGCTATTTAAACAGCATTATCATCTATTTAAAGGAGTCTGCCTTTTTTTTTGTATTTTTGAAGTATTTAATTAATTTCATCTAACCTTTTTTCACCATCAAATTCAAGCTCAGGACAACCATGGTAGCTTTATTCCTTATATAAAACATTTAAGAAACCAGAAAACTGTAAGTAAATGTGCTCATTCAAACCTTTTGCTACACTCCCTTATCTGTATCCTCACATAAAGACACCACTGTTTGCTCTGAAGGCACATAGGAAGGGACACTTGTGAGAAGGAATAACGTTCCTACTGACTTTACAGAGCAACTTTCTCCCACTGCTGGATCATCTGAAGCACGAAGCCATAAACTGTAACTGTAACGAGCTATGATTATTGCCAAAAAGGAAGTAGTCTACACTCAGTAGGAAAATAGATAGGGTAAACTTTTTAATTTTTTTTTTAACTGCAAGCATCATGCTGGTGGTAAACTGTATTCCACATGCGTACAGATCAGCAATGGCTATGCTGTAGTACTAGCAGCATTAATGTGGAAAGACTTTTCCACACAAGTCCCAAAATCCTGCAGGTAGCCAGCTTTGACAAATATGACAATATAAACTCTCAAAGTTGGCTCATTTTTAAACTATAAGATACTTTATTCTACCCTTTATATGGAGAAGAAAAGGAGATTCATTTTGCATAGGCTTTTTACTTGACAGCAGACTTTATGCACTTAGAAGAAATGGTTTGTTTTTCCAAAAAAAAAGTTTTCTTACCAGTTTCTGCACTTTATCTTCCCCCAGTGATTCATACAAATCAGTGCAATACACATACAGAATCAGGAGGCTCAAAAGAAAAGCACTGCAGCTTATGAATTCAAAGAAGTAAAGTCCACTACAGTTGGCGCATTCTTCCACGAGTTCTTCACAAACAACAGCCACCAAAGAGAAAATCTGCAAACAAATAACATGCTTGAGTTGGATCAAGTCTCTAACATCTTCAACAAACACACATCGCTGATACCAAGATTAATAAAGCTAGCTGTGACAAAAACTCTCAATCTACAAAGAGTTTGGTGAAGTTCCACACTATTTTCTTACAGACAGAAATAATTATACAATGACATGGTTTACACCTGGTTGTTAAAGGTGGTCCATAAAGTACACTCAGGTAAGCTGAGCACACAGCCAAACAGGGGCTTCTTGATTAGACAGACAAGATTCCTGTTTTGTGCAACTGCCAGTTTGAAGGAGATGAGGCAGCATGGAGAACACACATCCTGTAAAATGCTGCTGCTTAGGACATACAGCTGCACTCAGTTCTGAATGTATTTGGGTTCAGGGCAGTGGGGGAAACTGGACAGCCCTGACACACTCAGCTACCTCCCTAAAAGTTCACAGCAGATGTTACCTCACTTGATAAAACTTCAGAGGAAGTCCACGAACGCAACACTCACATGTTTGTGACCCAGTAATGACAGAAGCTCAACTGCTCTTGTAGGAACCGAAACCTTACACTCTGTTCAAGTGTGCTGGACAATGTTTAATCTATGCAGAGCTCTATCTTCACCTTCCTGCCCACAGTGTGTTTTGAGAAAAGAACATGACTTACTTCCTATACGGTCACCATATCCCTGCTGCTGGATTTTCTACTGTTTTATCATACAAGAAAGACTATTGCTTTATTTAACCATTTGCTTATTTTGGTCACTTCTTGCTAGTTCCTTCATCCCATAAATAGCATCATTTCCTTCATCCCATAAACTTGGCACAGCTTTACAGATCTTCATAGTAAGGAGTTCACCAAATTAAAATGAAACCACGAGCAGGAATCAGACTGGGTCGTAAAACTGAGACTGATATGAGAATGACATGTATTTTTAATAAGAGTATGTGGGCAATAGAGAAGTTGAGAGTTCTTTGTTAAAAAAAAAATAAAAACCTAAATTTAAGATTCAGAATTTTTCTTGGAAAATAAACATCAGTTTTGGTTTCAGTTTTCTCACAGTAAAAACAAGAACAACAATTTAGCAGTAGGAAGTGTAAATTCCCCTTACTAAGCCAGGTTCATAAGAGCACTTTGGAGAACCATGTTTTGGAAATGCAACAATATAAAGTAAACAGGAGCTCAGAAAGAGAAAGAATGGGAGCTGGGAAACATCAATAGGAGAAACTATCAGGCCTCCTCATGCTTCCTTTCTCTCCCACAGTGGTTGGCAACACAAACTTCTCAGCAGCCCTTGCACCTAAGCCAGTGAACTACAATGTCCAGGAATGTTTTAAACTCTGACTTTCCAGTTTTTATGGTTTGGGTTTTTTGTTTGGTTTTTTTTTGTTGGTTTTTTTTTTTTTTTTTCCATTTCAAAACATGGGCTTATAACTGCATCCATTGACTTTCAATTTCACATTTTTCACAAGGTCAGCTATGAGATAGCACTGTACATGAAAACTTATCTCTTTTTATAAGCACTGGAAACAGAAAGTCATCACTTTCACTTGGGCTGAAACAAAGCAGAAAGAAAATAAACCTGTCCTTAAAAGAAAGTATGTGTCCAGATAACCATAATATGATCTAAATAGCTGAAAAAAGCTTCTCTACTGAGTGTACAAGTTGAAAAAATCCCACTCAAAGAGCAGTTATAAAGGGTTCAGTGTCAAATAACTGAGATTTACCAAGTACAATCCTGTGTGGGACTTGTCCAAGTCGATATTCAATTTTTTTATTAATAAGCTGAGTAATAAAATAGAGTACATCAATTTAAAAAAAGTTGGCTTGAAGAACTTTGAGTAAGTGCTTTGATTAAATTAATGTATCAGCAGGACACTTATAAGATGCCAGAATCTGCTTGGATTTCTTAACTTGCTCTTTGATATCACTTTCAGGAAAAAAAGGTATTCCTCTGTTGTCCTCCTGCCACCAAAAATTAAAAATTTTCAACACCAAAAGCACTGTTGGAGAAGCACTTGTTTTGCATTTTTAAAATTTTGCTATTAGTCATGTCTGTATATACACCAGAAATTAAACATCTTCATCTGTCTCTTACCAGCAAAAAATTATTCATTGACACTGACATTACTGTTGGAAGTTTCTAAACAAATGTCAGTTTCATAAAGATTTAACAAGTGAATTGCTACAAAAGAATTTAACAAATGAATTGCTACAAAAATAGAGCAGATCAATGAACTTGCCAGCAATCCTGTGAAGATGCTTGGCATCTGGGAGGTACTGAGATTCTCTGTACAAAATCTTCTTCAGGTAGATATTAATTCTCTATTAAGTTTGCACAGTTCAGGCTACTACAGAACATTAACAGCTCAAAAAGGAGCTGATTTTTAAGCCTGAATTACAATTTTCCTCTCCAGCCAGGCCATTTTGACTCAAGTTAAACAATAATTGATGACAATTTGTCCTGCTTTAGGTAAGAATTAGTTTCTACCTCAATCTTGGCACAATACACATTGTGCCATTTACCTTTGTGCTGAATTTGAACCAGTCATGGACTAATGAAAACATTCCACCTATTTAAACAAACAAACAAAAAACCAAAAAACACCAAAAAACCCCACACAAACAAAACAACAACATCCTAGAAACCTGTGCAATAACATGACTCCCAACATCCTTTGGGCACTCGCATTTGTGACTTTTAGCAGCGACATTTTCCTTGTTTCATTTGCTCAAACGAACTGGCTAAGGTTACAGAGCATGCCATTATTCATCTGAAGAAAAGTGTTTCTTAGGTCTAGAAGCCAGTTTTCTGCAGGTGATTTCAGAGTGTTTTATAAAACCCTTGATCACCTCTACAGTGAAAAGAGCCCACTTTCTGATTGCGACACCCTGTTTAGCAGTCCACCCCAGCAATTATCAGGGCATAATCCCAGTAACAATCACTGTTGTAACACAAAGCCAGAAGGTAATGACCATCACTGACATTTCCAAAATCAACTCTTTCCCGGAACAGGAACCTTTTACTGCAAAGACAGAGGCTTCCAACTTCAGGACTTTCCAGGGCTTGTTTAAAGTGTTTTGACCCAGACCTCCAGATCTCTGCATTTTGATAAAGGTTACAAAAAAGGAGGGAAAAATGCTGGAAATTAGGAGGGTGGACAACTATAACTCCATTTTTTTTTTCTCTCACTGACTAATGGGTTCAGGCCACAAACTGTTGCTTATTTAAGAACATGTTAAGCAGCTATCCATCGTGTCTAGGATAATGATAAATTTTCTTTTTTTCTACTTAGAAAGCATTTAAATAATTAAACAGTTTAAGGCTTTGGTACATCAGTAGATTTGCCTATATAATCACTTATTTTATTTTAGTCAATGAACCTATTTATATAAACGTTCCACTTGTTAGGGAACAGAACCCAGCAGATCTTGTTTTAACAATCTCCAGTAGATTAATTAAAAGTTTATGTTCCATTATATTTATTTAAAGCATTCTTGGGTGCGATTTTTGTTTTAAACACTCTTAGAAAACTTTATTTTTGGCAGTGTTACCACTTTACAAACACTAAAGAATATTACATTTCTGGTTGAGGGTTTTGACTGTGTGTGAGATGAAGCTTAAAACCCAAACGTCCTGTTTTCTGCAATGATGAAGTAACGAGAAAGGGTTGGAAATCACCTACAATTCCTGTAAGCATGACACATCTGACTAAAAAGCCACTGTGTTGGCTGCAAAATGTAGGCTGACACACATTTGCAGTCAGCTGCCCTTTACCACCAGGGGTTTCACTCATTCCCTGCTAGTACATAAGAGTGATGCTCCCCATATCCTTACCAGCACTCACACTGGTACATTTTGGAAGAGCTCATCACCAAACACTGAACAGGACCTTGCAGCAGGAGCCCAGCTGCTTGATTCAGGAGCAACAATATGTATCAAAGGCAGAAAATAAGCCTTTTATTTCCTGGTGAGCCCAGGGCTGCCTGACATGAAGTGATGCGTCATGCAATAGGCCACCATGATTACGGGTTTCTGGTGCAATTTTTTACCACAAATCACGGGAGAAATAGGCTCCTTAATTTTATCATGAACAGCCCAGACTGACAGGCTTAGAATGGGCTACAGGAGCAGCAAGAGAGGAAGGTCTGGAGCTCATGACCCAGCAATGCCCTTCCCAGTTCTACTGCCCTATGGTGAAGTTCAACCAAAGGCTTCTTCCTCCTGTTTTCGTACAATGCGGCCCTCAGAAGAAGCCGCTACATTTCCTGCGAGGCTTCCCTCTGATTTTAGCCAGGGCGGGCGGTGTTTAAGGACCACGGCGGCTGCAGCACCGAGCCTCGGGCGCACGACGCGGGCACCATCCGGTGTCGGCACCTACTCCTGCAGCTCGGACACGAGGAAGAAACACTCCCACCACTTCCCCACCATAAACCACTTTGAACCAGCATTATAAGGCACCATGCCAGCTTTCCACCTGAGTTACAGGTCTGCACAATTTTAGTGACTCCATGCCCATGCCACGTCCTAAGTCAGGACACCTTCCCGGCGGAGCCTTTTCCGACAGGCAGAATCCATTCTCTCGAAGCCTGAGTGCGGCCATCTCCTCAGCCTGCCCTGGTTCACCGAGGAGTTTAATTTTTAAGCGGTAGGGGACCGTCCTAAAGGCGAAGGTCACCACAACACGCTCGTTTCCATCCCAGACTGGGGTACCACCGCCCCGCCGGGCTCAGGCCCGGCAGACTGTGAGTCTCTCCCCGGCCCGGGGGAGATCCTGCCAGGGGTGCTCCCTCCGCGCCAGGCCCGGCACGTCCCGCACGGCGAGGGGAGGAGGCACTCACCGTCTGGAACACCTTGACTGCCAGCCGCCATCCCCGCAGGTGCCGCAGGGTGCAGCCCAAGGGGAGGCGGCGGGGCCTCTTCGCCTCGGGTTCCGTGGTCTGGTTGTAGACGGGGGAGCCGTCCATGGCCGGGCCGGGGCGCCGGCTCCCAGCTGGAAAAAACCGAAAGCAAAAGAGAGGCGGGCAGGGCGTCTTCGCCTCCGGTTGCGTGGTCTGCTTGAAGGCGGAGCTGTACTCCCCGGCGGTGCCGGGCCACCGGCTCCCAGGTGGAAAACAGCTCAAGAAAAAGCTGGGGAGGTAGCGGGACGCCGTTGGTTGTGTGGTCTGCTTGTAGGCGGAGCTGTGCTCCCTCGCTGGGCCGGGCCGCCGGCTGCCGGCTGCAAAACACCTCAAGAAAACGGGCGGCAGGCGGCGGGACGCCTCCGATTGCGTGGTCTGGTTGTAGGCGGCCCGCTTCTCCATGGCCGGGCCGGGCCGCCGGCTACCATCTGGGAAAAACCGCAACAAAGGGGGCGGCAGGCCCCTTTGGGATGGGAACGGGAACGGGAAGGGCGAGAGGCCCCGGGGAGCCCGGGGGCCCCGGGGGGCGGCGGTTGCACCGACGGTTGGTCCCGGCGGGACAAAGGCGCTGCCGGCGGCGCCCCCTGGCGGCCGCGGGCGGGAGCGTGAGGGACGGCCCGGACCGCGGGGCCGCCTCAGGCCCAGTCCGGGCTTAGTTCGCCAACAGGAGTTTGGTAAGTAAAGTTTACACGAGTATTCACTTGTGACACGAGATTACGGTATCAATCAGAGGGGGGTTAAGACAAAGCTTTGCCTGGTTACATTCACATAATCAGTTAGGTTGGAAAAACCCTCTTGAGATCATCAACTCCGAACACCAGCACTGTGTCAACCACACCATGGCAGTGAGTGCGATGTGTTTAAGTCTTGCCTTAAACACCTCCACGGACAGTGACTCTGCCACCTCCTTGGGCAGGCCATTCCAGTGTCTTACACTCTTTCTGGGAAGAAATTCCTCCTAATGTCCAACCTTAACCTCCCCTGGGTGCTGCTTGAGGCTATGTCCTCTAGTCCTGTCATGAGTTGTTTGAGAGAAGATCCTGATCTCCATCTTTCTACAACCTCCTTTCAGGCAGTTCTAGATATCAGTGAGGCCACCCCTGAACCTCCCTTTCTCCAGGCTAAACAATCCCAGCTCCCTCAGCTGCTCCTCACAGGAATCATGCTCCAGACCCTTCACCAGCTCAGCTGCCCTTCTCTGGACACACTCCAGCACCTCAATGTCCTCCCTGAATTGAGAGGCCCAGAACTGGACAGGGCACTCGAGGTGTGGCCTCACCAGTTCTGAGTACAGGAGAAGAATCATTGTCTTTGAAGACATTCCTTGTTGTGAATGAGAATATACTCATATCACCAACCCTCTTCTAATATATTCCCATACCTTAGCCCAGGTCAGCTTTTAAAAGTAACTGTAAAAGTTTTTGTGGCCTACAGTAGATTGAACCTTCTATACGTAAGCAAAGGTGTGTTATGTTTGCTTCTATATTATTGATGTATTACCCACAGAGCTATTATGGTCCTTTGTAGTCAAGTTCAATTATACTTGTTTAAATTCAAAGAAATGGAAAATTGCTACAGGTTGAAAAAGAGGAGATTTGCTTGCTTAACATTAGCTGTGTAGGAGCAGATTGCCTGCTTAGGGAACAGGTCAGGCTGTTCAGATACTGCTTCTGTTTGGGAGCCACACAGTGCAGTGGGAATGTGCTACAGAGCCCCATGAGGCTGGGGCTACTTTTAGCTCTGGCAGGACACCCCCTTAACTGGGCAGATGCAGAAGTATGGGCCAGACCAAAGCAGCTGGGCCGTGCTCCCTGCTGAGTGTGTACCAGCAGGCTGTGTGCTTCTCCCAGTAAGAAAACACAATCCAGGGGAATACAGTGTCCCTAGACAGGATCATACAGACCTGCCACTGTCACAAACAATGTTTGGCTGCAGGAATTGGCTTGGGAGGCAAATGAGCAGGGCAAGTCCTGTGATTCCCAAGGCGTGGGCGTTTCCACTAAAACAAATGAGGTATCACCATGGGTGTGCCCCAGCTTCTGCCTGGGATTGGGGTGAGTCTAACATGGCTCTGTTGGCAGCATCCCAGACTACAGGACTGAGCAGGTAGGTGCAGTCAGGAACATTTGCTGTTCCTGCTTATAAATTCCCAGTGCCTTCACTACCTCTTTTCACACTAGTACATTATAAATTAGATTATGTTACAGAAGCTGGCATCTCTCTTCTGAAGGAAATTTCTTTCTTGTCTTCATTTTTTCTTTCCTAATATTTCACAACTGGCTGAATAACTCAAAGCCACAAAGCATATGTCTAGGCTGTACTGTGGTCTGACAGAGACAGGACTTAACCAAGATAGAAGCAGCTGTCAGGTCTTTTAAGATGTTCAGTAGCATCTAAGGCTATTTTGTAGCCCTTCCCTTGTGCATCTTTAAAATGGCTTCATGCAGCATTGCAAGATTATGAATACAGATGTTAGTACTGAAGAAAACTGTCCTGAGGACAGACTGCTTTTCAGGGAGCCACAGAAACACAAAACAAGAGTACAAAAGATAAAATAGATGGCAACCTCTTTCCAGTTTCTACTGTCTTTAAGCTGGTTTTCCTGTTCAGGCCCTGTCCAGGAAATACATATCAATGATGCATGAATGATAAAGGTTAGCTTGCCATTTAAAGCCTAACTTATTGAGGCCAATTTATTTATTTTTTAATAAGAGGTTAAGGAAAAGTGAAACTCCAGCAAAGCTAGGGAACTGTAAGGTCATGTGACAGAGAAGGAATGAAAACTGGACAACAGCATAGCAGTTGATATCTTGAAAATATTTATAACATTACATTATGCTGCTCTTCACAGAGGTACAGCAGGTGTTCTTCACCCTTTTTTTCACTCTAACATTCCAGTATAGTTTTTTTCCTTTAAAGAGGGAATTGAATCAACAGTTACTGTAACAATAGGCTTTAATGCAAATAACAGTAACTGGCTGACTGTGATGTGATGGAAATTCCATTCCAGGTATACAGCTATTAATTTCCTTTTGGTTATGTGCTACACCTGGCAGTTTTACAGAAAAAGAAGTCTTTCTTACCCTGCCACAGCCTCTGCTGGCCTGGCAGGAGCAGAGCTACAGGCAGGACATGGTGGCAGAGAAGCAACCCCACGGATAGATGCTGAGCTGTAGTAACATCTCCAGTCAGCCAGGCACAGAGAGAGACATCAGTGGAAGCAGATTAGTGATGAGTGACCTGGTTTTCTCCCTCATTACATCTCCTCCAAGACACCCTCCAGAGTGACCAAAAATCAATGCCAATGGAGAAAGCCCCCTCACCAGAGGAGATGGCAGTGTACTCAGTATAGCTGTATGACAGTTGCCACTTCGTGCCCCCATGTTGAAATAATTTCCAAAACTGTGACTGGAGTTCCTTGAAGCAGTTGAGTAAATGCCAGCTGCTGCAATAAGGGGGCTCCAGGCCACAGCTGCATTGCTGTTTTCATCAAGTGAGCCCCTCTTTGGCAAGGCTCTGTGTGCTGTGTTACAATGAAACACTACAGCCTGAGTCCCTCACACTCAGCCCTGGCCTCACATGTTGATGTTCTCCTTTCCTCACTTTCATAATTGCAATGGGTTTTTTTGCTTTTCTTGCCAGAAGGCAAGGAAGAAGGAAGTAGAAAAATGGGAAAGCAGCTTGGAAGCACAAACTACTGAAAGAGACAGACTTAGTTTCTTTGGAAGAGTGATGAGGAAGAGGAGGAAGTGTGTGTTACTGCACAATTCAGGGAGCTCCACTGAAGACAGCCTGTCTGAGGCACATCTCCCTCCTTCATTTTTATGTCACATGGACATCTCAACATATTCTGTTCAAGACTATCCCCATGTATTACATGAAGTAAATACAGGATGATTAGCTAGCAAATGGAATATTCCAAGTACTGCAACAATGAGCTCAGAGAAGACTTCAATGTGTTGCATCTGCTGAACTTTCTTTAGCGCTTGAGGCTCTATTTTTGTGCTCAGTATTGCAACTGAACTTCACAAACCATGACACCACACTAAACAGGCTTGAATGTGTGATTTTTTAACAGCTGAAGATGAAGAATTAGCATTTTTAACAGCTATAACTAAGTATCCCTTATGGCACCAGAGATGAAATAAATCCCCACACTTTCCAAATGCAAGCTTAGGCTAACTCTTCTCAGTGGTTTTCTGCATGCATCTGCATGGCACAGAGAAGCATTAAGCCATGAGGTATTTGATAGGCAACAGTTCTGCTGCTGCAGGTGTCCCACTGCAAACTGTTTGCTCCCCAAGGAGAGACTGCAGCCCAAGAGGCAGCAATTCTTGCATTTCAGAAGTATCACTAGAAATTTAAGGTTACTATAGTAGCTAGTCCATAAAACCTAAAAGCCATGTGCACGTTCCAGAGATTGTAATTTTCAGCTGAAAAATATGATCTAAAAATATGAAACAAAGTGGACATTTACTCAAAAATTTCAAGCTTAAAATTTGCAGAACAACTTTATTAGAATCAGTATACTCAAAAGAACTGATGTGGGAACAGGTTAGAGAAGGAGGAAGAGAAGATTTACAAAATTCCCCTGAAATCTTTTAATTTCAGTCCAATCAGCAACTTGTCTACATTCAACTAGCCCTGAAAGTCTAAAGGAATTTAGTTGATTTACATTGTAGCATTTTTTCAGTGTTCATACTGAATAGAATTTTAAAAGCATTGTTATTAAAATTGTGTCCTGTAGTTCTTGTATCACCTCTTTGCTTTCTGCATCTTATGTGTTAGTCTGAAACTTTGTACCCAACAGCACTAAAGGCACAGAAGAGTGATTGAGAGCAAAATTATTGTAATTTGTAATGTTACTCTTTCAAAAATTGGGGTAATCCCAAACCTAACCCCTCCCGAGCCTAGAGCAAGAAAGTATTCTTGCCAAACTAGCTTCACTGTTTTCACCCTATTTATTTATTTTGGTGCTTCACTTGATGGTGAAAGGAGAACAGGGAGCAGGGTTTACTGGCACTACCTTTTGTGAAAAGGGCTCCTTGTCACAGAGACTGTGTTTTGCATGATAGCTGTGGTAAATCCCACCTTAATTGTCTACTCTCACCAAAGCAGGAGTTGGGGGAACTGCAGCTCAAGAGGAAAAAGCAACCAGCCCAGGAGCCTTAGTCTCATCAGAGGGAAACAAGAAGCCAAAGACATCAGGTTACACAGAAATATTCTCAGGTATTTTCCTTTTGTGGTAAATTTTCCCCCCAGACAGCATGAGCAGGCTGCAGATAGGAAGTGACAGTAGCATTAAGAAAATTTGAAGGAGGTAAGCAGGCTACTTTAGTCTTTTACAATGAAGAGGCATGGTAGGGGACAGTCTTTGTGTAAACAAGCATTTGTAAATAAGAATTTAAAAATCAAAACAACCAAAAACCTCCAAAGCTATAGGGGCTTAGGGAAAAACACATTTAGAAGCTTCAAATACACAGAAGTGACATCTGTTTCAAGAAGTGAAATTATAATGAGTCA